ACAAAACAAAACAAAAAAGCAGAGTTGCAATCCTAATCTCTGATAAAATAGACTTTAAACCAACAAAGAACAAAAAATGAAAAAGAAGGGTATTACATAATGGTAAAGAGATCAATGCAACAGGAAGAGCTAACTACCCTAAATATATATGGACCCAATTCAAAAGCACCCAGATTCATAAAACAAGTTCTTAGAGACCTACAAAGAGACTTAGACTCCCACATAATAATAGCAGGAGACTTCAATACCCCACTGTCAATATTAGACAAATCAATGAGACAGAAAATTAACAAGGATGTTCAGGACTTGAACTCAGATCTGGACCAAGCAGACCTAATAGACATCTACAGAATTCTCTATCCCAAATCAACAGAATATGCATTCTTCTCAGTGTTACATCACACTTATTCTGAAATCAACCACATAATTGGAAGTAAAGTACTCGTCAGCAAATGCAAAAGAACAGAAATCATAACAAACAGTCTTTCAGACCACGGTGCAATCAAATTAGAACTCAGGATTAAGAAACTCACTCAAAACCTCACAACTACATGAAAACTGAATGACTTGCTCCCGAATCACTACTGGGTAAATAACAAAATTAAAACAGAAATAAAGATGTTCTTTGAAACCAGTGAGAACAAAGACACAACTTACCAGAATCTCTGGGATACATTTAAAGCAGTGTGTAGAGGAATACTTATAGCACTAAATTCCCACAAGAGAAAGCAGGAAAGATCTAAAATAAACACCCTAACATCACAATTAAAAGAACTAGAGAAGTGGACTTGGCAGGGTGGCTCACTCCTGTAATCCTAGCACTTTGAGATTTGAGGCCAAGGCAGGCGGATCATGAGGTCAGGAGTTCAAGACCAGCCTGACCAACATAGTGAAACCTCATCTCTACTAAAACTACAAAAAATTAGCCAGGCATCATGGTGCACACCTGTAATGCCAGCTACTCAAGAGTCTGAGGTAGAAGAATTGCTTGAACTCAGGAGGCGGAGGTTGCAGTGAGCCGAGATCACACCACGGTATTCCAGCCTGAGTGATAGAGAGAGGAAAAAAAGAATAAAGGAACTAGAGAAGCAAAAGCAAACAAATTCATGATAAAAGCTCATCACCACTGGTCATTAGAGAAATGCAAATCAAAACCACATTGAGATACCATCTTACACCAGTTAGCATGGTGATCATTAAAAAGTCAGGAAACAACAGATGCTGGAGAGGATGTGGAGAAATAAGAATGCTTTTACACTGTTGGTGGGAGTAAATTAATTCAACCATTGTGGAAGACATTGTGGTGTTACCTCAAGGATCTAGAACTTGAAATACCATTTGACCCAGCAATCCCATTACTTGGTATATACCCAAAGGATTATAAATTGTTCTACTATAAAGATGTGTGCACATGTATGTTTATTGTGGCACTTTTCACAATAGCAAAGACTTGGAACCAACCCAAATGCCCATCACTGATGGACTGGATAAAGAAGATGTGTCACATATACACCATGGAATTCTATACAGCCATAAAATAGAATGAGTTTATGTCATTTGCAGGGACATGGATGAAGCTGGAAACTATCATTCTCAGCAAACTATCACAAGAACAGAAAACCAAAGCACCACATGTTCTCAAGTTGAACAATGAGAACACATCGACATAGGGAGGGTAACATCACACACTGGGACCTGTTTGGAGGTGGGGGGTTAGGGGAGGAATGGCATTAGGAGAAATACCTAATGTAGATGACAGGCTGATCAGTGCAGCAAAGCACCATGGCACATGCATATCTATGTAAAAAAACTGCATGTTCTGCACATGTGCCACAGAACTTAAAGTATAATAAAGCCATTATATAAAGTATGAAGTAAGACCAAGTGCAAAGGACTAAAATATCTTCAAAGATCCAAAAGGTCAGTTGATCTCCAAGGTGCCTTAATATTGAGTTCTAAATTTTCCCCTAAGAGTAATATTATTTCAAGACAAAGTCTTTTGTTGCTATTGGGTTATTTATGTGTAAGAGCTCATTTATCTTCCCACTCTGCTTCCTAGTGGAATTCAGGATTGGTTATCTGATCATCATAATATTTAGCTCTGTGTCCCGACCAAAATATCATCTTGAATTGTAATCTCCACATGTGGAGTGGGGAGACTTGGTGGGAGGTGATTGGATCATGGGACCAGTTTTTTTCATACTGTTATCATGATATGAGTGAGTTCTCATGAGATCTGATGGTTTAAAGTGTTTGGCAGTTGCCCCCCACCTCTCTTCCCACTATCTAAAATGTGCCTTGCTTTCCCTTCACCTTATGTCATGATTGTAAATTTCCTGAGACCTCTCCAGCCATGCATAACTGTAAGTCAATTAAACCATCTTTCTTTATAAATTATCCAGTCTCAGGTACTTCTTTATAGCAGTGTGAAAATGAACTAATACAGGAAATTAGTACCAGGAGTTTGGGGCACTGGTATAAAGATACCTGAAAATGTGGAAGCAACTTTGGAACTGGGTAACAGGTAGAAGTTGGAACCATTTGGAGGGCTTAGAAGAAGACAGGAAGATGTGGGAATGTTTGGAACTTCCTAGAGTCTTGTTGAATAGTTTTGACCAAAATGCTGATAGTGAGATGGACAGTAAAGTCCAGGTTGAGGTGGTCTCAGATGGAGATGAGGAATTTATTGAGAACTGAAATAAAGATCATTCTTGCTATGCTTTAGCAAAGAGACTTGTGGCATTTTTACGCATACCCTAGAGATCTGTGGAACTTTGAATTTGAGAGAGATAATTTAGGGTGTCTGGCAGGAGAAATATCTAAGCAGCAAAGCACTCAAGGTGTAACCTGGATGTTTCTAAAAGCACATCAACATATGCATTTACAAAAAGATGATCTGAAATTAACACTTATTTTTAAAAGGGAAACAAAGCATAAAAGGTTGGAAAATTTGAGGCCTGACTATGTGGTAGAAAAATATATACATTTTATTTTTTCTAGGGAGAAATTCAAGCTGGCTGCAGAAATCTGCATAAGTAACAAGGAGCCAAACGTTAATCACCAAGAAAATGGAGAAAATGTCTCCAAGACATTTCAGAGATTTTTATGGCAGCCCCTCTCATCACAGGCCCAGATGCCTAGGAGGGAAAAATTGTTTCTTGAGCCAGGCCCAGGCCCCCACTGCTCCGTGCAGCCTTGGGATATGGTCCCTTTCCTCCCAGCCATTCCAGTTTAAGCCATGGCTCAAAGGGGCCAAGGTACAGCTCAGGCCATTGCTTTAAAGGGTGTAAGCCCCAAGCCTTGGCAGCACATTGGCAGCTTCCATGTGGTGTTAAGCCTGCAGGTGCATTGATGACAAGAGTTGAGCTTTGGGAAACTTTGCCTGGATTTCAGAGGATGTGTGGAAACACCTGGATGTCCAAGTAGATATCTGCTGCAGGGGTGGAGCCCTCATAGAGAACCTCTACTAGGGCAATACTAGAAAGGAAATGTGGAGTTGGAGCCCCTTCACAGAGTCTCTACTGGGGCACTGCCTAATAGAGCTGTGAGAAGAGGGTCACCATCCTCCAGATCCCAGAATGACAGCTTGCACTATGGGTCTGAAAAAGCCACAGGTGCTCAATGCCAGCCTATGAAAGCAGCCACAGGACTGAACCCTGCAGAGCCACAGGGGCAGAGCTTCCCAAGGCCTTGGAAGCCTACCCCTTGCATCAGCATGCCCTGGATGTGAGACATCTAGGAGATTATTTTGGAACTTTAAGAGTCAATGACTGCCCTGTTGGGTTTCGAACTTGCATGGGGCATGTATCCCCTTTGTTTCAGCTAATTTCTCCTACTTGAAATGGGAGTATTTACCCAATGTCTGTACCCTCATTTTATCTTAGAAGTAACTAACTTGCTTTTGATTTTATAAGCTTATAGATGGAAGGGACTTGTCTTTTTCTTAGATGAGACTTTGAACTTGGACTTTTGGGTGAATGCTAGAATGAGGTTAGATTTTTTTGGACCCTTGGAAAGTCATGATTGTGTTTTGAAATGTGAGAAGGACATGAGATTTGGAGGGGGCCGGGGCAGAATGATGTAGTTTGGCTCTATGTTACCACCAAAATCTCATCTTAAATGGTAATCCCCAAGTGTTGAGGGAGGGACCTGATGAGAGGTTATTGGATCATGGGTGCAGTTTCCTACATGCTGTTCTCGTGTTGGTGAGTGAGTTCTCATGAGATCTGATGGTTTAAAAGTGTTTGACAGTTCCCGTTCACTGTCTCTCCTGCCATCATGTAAGACATGCCTTGTTTCCCCTTCACCTTCTGCCATGATTTTAAATTTCCTGTTGCCTGCCCAGCCATGCAGAACTGTGATTCAATTAAATCTTTTTTCCGTAAATTACCCAGTCTTGGGTAGTTATTTATAGCAGTGTGAAAACGGAATGATACATCTCTCAACCCAAATGAGCAGAAAAAAGGGAATTTATTTCCTAAAAAGTATTATTATCTCATTTGACTAGTTAACTAAAAATATTGAATGCCAGGCTATAGAGTTAACTTTGCCATCTGGGAAATTAAGAGCAACTGAAAGGTTCTGAAAATAAGAATTACATGAGGAAAGTGAATAGATTTCTAAGATTAATTAGGAATGATCTGGGGGGGAAGAGAGATGAAAATAAGAGATATTATAAAATCCTAGAATGTTGGAGCTGGAACCATCTTTTAAGGATGGAAGTGGAGAGACTTATTTAAGTCAATGATGTGAAGACAGAATTAGCACTAGAATGCATGTCTCCTTACGCCTATATTTTCATACTTTCTGTAGCAGACCAGGCTGAGTTCACTAAAAGGGAGTATATTGTACTTTGAAACTGGCTACTGGTTGGAGAGGGGACATCAAAGACAATGCCTGAGAACTAAGAGAAAGGGGCACTATTGTTGGGAAATTATCATATTTTTTAGAGAAAGAAGAAATTTTATCTAAAATTTTATGGACTTTCTTTTTCTTTCTAGGTAATGCAGAACGTGATGAAGCCATATGTATGTACTGTCCTTTATTTCTTAAACAATTTAACTACTTTATGTGAAATCCAGCTTTCAATTGCTTCTTTATTTACAGATTACCAATTTTGGTATCCAAAATGGGAAGTGCCCCGGCCAATTGTGTGTGATCCACTGTGCACGTTCATTTTATTATTGAGAATATTATGTTTTATGCTGTGTGTCACAACTGTTTTGATAGTACAGTCTCATTTTCCAAATATCTTGTTGGAACGACAAATAATATTTACCCCTGAGGAATCTGAAGAAGAGAAAGAAGAGGAAAAAGAGGAAAAGAAGAAAGAGAAAGAGGAAACAGAAATGGAATTGGAAATAATGGAAATGGAGGAGGAAAAAGAAGAGGGAGAGGAGAAAGAGGAGGAAACACAAAAAGAAAAGATGGAGGAAGAGGAAAAATAAGAGGAGGAAGAAGAGGAAGATGTATCACCAACATAAGCCAAAAGTATAACACAAAAAAGACAGACAGAAAAAAAGGAAAGTAAAACACTGAGTTTTAACAAGAAAGAAAATATGCAAACCACTATTGGAATGTTTTTTATTCCCTTCTCTACTGTGCTTATTCAATAAATTTAAATTTGTAAAACAAAGAAATAAACAAAAAAAACATGTAAGCATTATGGTGAGCTCTTTAACGCTAAGAATAGATACAGATGTAACAAGAAAAACACTGAAAAAAATTTGACCAGTCTATTTAATCTTAATATTTCACCATGTTAGTCTAATAAAACAGAGAATCTTTATTTTCTAAATATGTTCTCATCTCTGTGCTTTCAGTGTTTTCTAAATGAGTTAATACATTTTTCAAGTATTAAATGACATTATTCATTTAAGGTGCTTAAGATCATTCCAAGTCCAGAAAATTCCAAGAACAACCATTGAATAAATATTGTTGGATTTTTGTTTTTACTGTTACTGTCATAGTTGTTATTGGTGGTAGTGGTATTTTTCATATGACATTAAGGCATCTAATATTATTATTTGTCTTTGTGGTATTTGTTCTTGAAATGATTTAAGTGGTACATGTACATCCTGCTAGGATGAAAATTTATTATTTCTAGTTTATGTTCAATATTTCAGCAAAAACCTGCTGTAATTTTCTGCCACCAAAGGCTAATAAATGCCAGAATTTTAATTAGTTGTGGTGACAGAATCTGGATGCTTCCAAATTTATATGATAAAATAAATTTTCTAAGAATTATTTGTTATTAATATGTGTAGCAAAAGTTCACAAATTAATAACTACTTACCACTAGTAATACTAATAAATGAACTAAATAAAAATACCTAGCAAAGGAGATTTCTTCAGCTATAAAATAAATGAGTAGTACTAGATGACCACTAAGATCTCTTTATCAGTAAATATTCATGGATCAACTTTGTAAAGGAATTAGTAGTATCTATGGAGTATACCAAGCCAGCACCTGGGGAAAGGACCTGATTTCCATGAAAATATTCCTGAACTCAGCACCTTACGTGGCAAAATGGAAAATACCTTTTATTATTCAGTTTTAAAATATGCAAAAAGCAATGTATACTATTTTTCTAATTGCCATTCCATGCTTACCTGTCTTATTGTTGCACACTTATTAGAACTTAATGTGATTTAGATGTGAAAGGATAATATAATTATATTTATAACAGGGACTTAGAGAACTCATTCTAATTGAGAATCAAGGCTTAATAAACCTGAAGATTTAAGTGAAAGAAATGACACTGAAAGAAAGGATCACTGCATATCTGATGTTTTCAAATAAAACAATCTCTGTTTTCCAATTTTGATAGAATATTGTGTTCTAAAGCCATATTTCTCAATGAATGGTTCCACTAGGGAGGAAAAAATCCTAGCATAGCCAAATACCTCAAATGGTATAAATGCTATATGTATTAACTCTGTTGTTTTTTAGTTGTATCAATATTGTGTTAAAAGCCTGTTCCTAAGTAGGGCAAGATCAGAATTATATTAAAAAGCCTTAGGCTATTCTCTTGGAGTTTAGTGTCTCTGTTTGGTTTGGTTGTTTTGCTTGTTTTTTTTTCCCCAAGAGCTCTTCTTTGTAGAAATTAGATATTTTTCAATCTATAAAGAGTTTCTCTTCTACCAGTCTCCTGAGAAAAAGGCTTAGGTACAGAAAAGGGCTAGCTCTCTACAGGGATGTTATTTATTATTATTATTGTACATTTGTGTCTTACCTTACAGCTTCCAAAGTCCTTTCATGTAACTATTTTATATTCAAACCATTCTTGTGGAGCTGGCATTGCCTTCATTTTTAAAATAAGAAAATTGACCTTGGATTTGTGAAGACTTGATGCATTTACAAGTACAATTTCTTCATTTCTTAATTCCCACACATGGCTAACTTGTCATATATCTATATGCCTAACAGTCCCTAGTCCTGGGCCATGAAACCATTTTGTCCTAGGCCTCCAGGACTGTGACAAGAGGTCTCCCATGAAAACCTCTGACATGGCCTGGAAACATTTTTCCCATCATCTTGGAGATTAACATTCAGTTCCTCATTACTGTTTTGTTTATTTGTTTCCAAAGAAAAAAGAAATTTATTTCTCATTTAAAAAACAACAACAACAAAAATTTATTTAATTAAGCATAAAGTTACTTTCACATTTGTCTACAACCAGAGTAAATACAGTTCTTGGCATAAAGACACAGCCTCCCCACCTGCAAGATTATATATATAAAATTCCCGCTATTGTTTGCATAATAGTGGAATTTTTAATCGAATTAAAATAGTTATATTATCTAGAATAAAATAAAATGGATATAATTTACTCATAAGATTCATATTTATATCTTTGTTTACAAAATATTATCCTGAGAATTATAATTCCATTAAGCTTCAATTTGAGTAAAAGTGTAATCTCTTAAGTAACAGCAGTTACTTAAACTGAAAATGAGATCAGTCAAAATTAATTTTGAGGAGAGCAAAAATATTGTCAGGTTTCTTGCTGTGGTTCTGGATGTTCAACAGCAGGCTCATTTGAAGGCAAAATCAACCCTTCTATCTTCAGAATATGGGGGTAGGGAGGAAATCCAAGTCTTGGAGGAAGATAAGGAAGAAAATTCCTCAGTGGATAGACATTTCTCATTGCAAATGGAGCATGTGGTGGACCTGGGAAATCCCTTAATGGAAAGTAATCTTGAGAAGCTCCAAACATGGTTCCTGGAGGAGGTGAGGGAAAGGAGGTCCTCTTCTCATGAAGGAGCTCCTTGTATCCACTGGAAACAATGGACCTTTAATTGGAGCAAGAGGTGGAGGAACAAAGCCAGAGCCAGTTGCTTCATTTTCACGGGGGAGAGATGAATCAGGCACATTTAAATTATTACCAAGATCATCTTTGGTATCATTTCTACAGGATTCCATTTCTAAAGGGATTGACCCATCCATTTTATCCAAAGAAGGCATATTAAAACTTCTGAGTTCTGCTGGTCCAGACAGTCTACCAGAATTAGAATAAAATCTGTCTTGCCTTTGTGGAGGAAGAGCTGAATCAGGATATGATTGTCTTGGTGGAGGAAACACTATCCTACGGTCCTGTTCCCATGGAGGTGACAGGGACAATGTCAGGAAGAGCCCTATGAGTACTGGTTAAACTAACACAGCTTGATTCTTCTCTTTCATTGATAATCTGATGGTTCAGAGGATTCCCTGGGACCTTGAGCCTCTTCTTCCTCCCCCTGGAATCAAAGGTGAGAGTCTGAGTGGACCCTTGAACAAAACTGGAGGAGAGAGAAAAGCTCTCATTTCAAATGAAGACCGACCCAATGGTGAAGGACCATGTCGTGAATGCTCTCTCAAATGCTGTATTCAGAACATCAAGTTCGTAAGGATCTTTTACTAAAAGTTCAAATTTAAACACTATTTCAGTTCATTTTTGTCTGTTGTAAGTATTTTCTGTCCTTAAGTTCATTGAGGCTTCTTTCAGCAGTCCGAGCTGCCAACCAATTATCATGTGCTTTTTTCTCATAGGAAGTAATCTGCCCTTGATAATAATGAATAGTTCTCTCCCGTTCTTCTTCAAGATCTTTGGCTCCTTTCTATAGGTCTCCAGCTCTTCAGTGTCATGGCTAATCTTTTTGCCTACTTTAGAAAGTTTCCCTTCTTTTCTAACTGGTAATTTTCCTCTGCTGTTAATTTCCCATGGAGTTTCATTTCATTTTCATGATATAATTCAGTCATTACTTTAAGTCTCTGTCGAAGCTTCTGAGTCTCACTTTCAAAATGTGTGTTTTCTGACTGCAAAGATGCTTGTTCAGTCTGAAGGTTTTTAATATGCTCTGTAAGCTCTTCCTTTGTTTTATTAACTTCAGCTAACTGAATATAAATTTGTTTTCTTTATCCTAAGGTTTTTAAAGAAGCATTTAACTTAGCAACATGAATCCGTTTCTTCAAAACTCCTTTTGGAGGATTATCTAAGTAAGCATCATTTTCTGATTCACTGTTCATTTCTAATTCCAAGTTATCATCATCCATTACATCTTCTCCAAGCATAGTAGCCCAATCATTCATCCTTAGTAAGCATTCAGTCAGAATCTTGATGTGATTTTCTTTATCTTTTAGATCTTGTTCTGCATGTACTTTGGAGGTTTCAAATGTTATTTTCTGTTTATTAAGTTCACTCACTTGTTCTTTCCATACTTCAGCTTCTTGCAAAAGCTGTTTCTGGTTTTCCTGAAGTTGATTATTTTCAGTCAAAGCATCTTTTATTGCTATCTTCAGTCATTCTTCATTCATTTGAAATATCTTGAAGGTCATTTTGGCTTCAGCTACTTGTGATTTGAGGGATTTTGGTTCATATTCTAGAGACTGTAATCTTTTTGAAATATCCACCGTCAATTCATCTTGTTCAGAATGTTTAGATTTCTCTTCTTTTAACTCTTTTATTAGACAGGGTATTTCATCCTGAAGTTCAGAATTGGACCTGTTCAGCTTTTCAAGGGTTGCCTCCAGATTTGGCACTTCTGTTGCCTCCTTCTTAAAGCTGGCATCCATTAAAGATGATTGTACTTCATAGCTTTCATACTGTGTTTGAACAAGGCTAAATTTTTCATGTAGTTTACATTTTTCTTCAATTAGTCCAGAAAACATTATGGCAAGCTTTTTCTATCTTTCCACATAAAGCTGACTTCTAACCGATCTAAAAATTCTCCACAAAAAAAAAAAAAAAAGTAAACAGCAAAAAATCCAACAATAGCTGCCCATATCACCAATTCCCATAAAAAATACCATAAGGATTAGAATCTGGTCGCATATCATCAGGCAGTGATGTCACAACCCTGCATAGCACCTCCAGGACCAGTCATAAGTACGGCTGAGGGGTAGCCCTGGGCTCCTCCATAATGCCAAGGCTGCTCTGACAGTCACTGCAGTAACCCTGGCCTGTCG